TTCTTACATTCCTTCGCTCGTGAGTGTACGCAAAATCGAAAAAGACATATCGTTTAATGTATGCGTTTCTTAAATTATCGATTACGAGTGTTATTTAAGGTAGATAGCACGATATCGTACATTAGGAAACGACAACATATATTTAGTACATATATGTACTGGTCTGGGTAAATATAAAAAATATCAATGCTACCCGCAAATAGGTCAACTCTGGTGTTAAATAGTAATTTATTTTTCCAGAAATTGCAAACCTTTCATGTCATTAATCTTGTGGGATATGTACCGAACAACATGAAACAAAATTTTTGAATATTTCCTCTTTGGTATTTTGTAGTATGTAGAGGTGCATTTTTGTTGCTGTAAGCTTTCTATAGCTTCTCCGTTTGAGCTCGGTCTCAGCTTGGTAAACAAATTTCAAAAAAAGCAAGTAACTTACAGAAACCTTAAATCACGCGATTTCCTGTTAAACTTATTTTGAGCGAATCAAATTACATCAAAACACAAAACTGTTTTCGTATTGAAAACTCGGAACCATTTCCGAGAATATGTCATTCCAGTGTTACTGTAAATGAGTAATTTCAAGGTAATGTTCTCACGAAAAGTTTTCATAATCCCAGACATTTCATTAGAAATTATTTGAACCACTTGAACTTGATGTATAAAAATTACATTTTATGTAAATAAACTGACATGCGAGATATTTTTTAAAAATTAGCAAAAGTATCTTATTATGACGGAGCTATCGCCAAATGATTATATGCAATGTGATTTATACATACAGAAAATTTTTCAAGAAATCGTTATTGTGATCTTTTTAATTGTCCCAATTTGGTTAACAAATTTCACCAAAATTAAATTTCCAAAGATTGTATAAGATAATAATTCAGGATAAGTGTGAAGAATAGAGTGCTTTAGGAACAATCTGTAATCGATGAAGTATTGGTTGGAGAGGGTCGCAAATGAATTATGTTTTTCGTTTCGTTTACGAAATATGATTATTGATTCGACGAGATATCGTTGGTTGTTATTAACACGCGTGCAATTAAAATTCCACCGTGCTATTACAACTCCATACTATTACTAATCAGAATTCAGTAAAGGACAAATCGTTTAATAAAGAAACTATAACATCCGACGTAGAGAACGTATTTCCACTCGACCATGATACATGAACAGAAATATACATCACAGAGACGTACCTACAACACCTACAAATAAACCACGAAGAAATAAATCTAAATCGAGGAAGTAAAAAGTACGCAGTAGCAAAATTGTATCACACGTAATTAGTGATACTCCCCACACCCCAATATTTACACATTATATATTCCCTCTTATAGTTTTATTTTTAGATTATTTTTATTATACTGTTTCTCATAATTACTTTTCGTGGAAACTAATGTTTTCACAACTTTGTCAGCTGCTTCAATTATATTTTATCAGCAATATGAACAGTACCTTCCATTTGCAAATATTGCGTGCAAACACGCATATTGCAAGACCCATTAAAATAGATTATTTCAGAAGCAATACGACATCAAATGTAGGCTTCGGATGGTAAAGGTGTTCTTGGATTTCTTAATATTTAAATTATTCTTAAATGGAAACGAAAAATATTGAAAATAACATGTGTATAATTGCACTCGTGGTAATATAAGAAAACTCGTTCCTACGGTCGCTCTGGAACGAATCTCTCGTGCAATTATACCCCACTTTCCACATTCGTCTCTTTAATTGCTGTATTTTAGACATTGAAAATTCCGAGATTTCAATGATATCAGACCTGGTGCTACGACAACCAGCTTCATTCATGGCTCCACGCTTTCAAAAAATTATTAATAATAAAATTGAGGTACTTCTGAGCAAATTTCCAAAATGTCCTAGGAGCTTCATCTAGTAATTTAAAAATAAGATTCGTTCTAAATTCTCAGTCGTGCCAGATTGTTTGGGTACTAGACATTTTGGAAAATATCCCGTTTGTGAGATACTGATGATGTCACGGATATGTTATACGCAGTATCTAAAGAAATGGTTTATTTGCCTTGTTTAATTATTTGTTCTAAATCGAGTATATTAGAAAACAAAAAATAATATATTTCATCTCTAGTTTGACTGATTCAATTTATCCGCAATCGGTTTTTCTCAAACTATGTTCATAGACACTATATTTCTTTAGAAAGTGGGGTATTTCTCTTATATTAATTTTACACTCAGGAGCCGCCACTCACTACGCCAAATTATTCCACGACATACCTTCGTTGCGAATTCACGATTCGCCAAATCCTTGTTTGCTAGTAAGATGAAGTAACTAATATTTCTTAACCACTTTGGAGAATACATGAAAGTTTGAGCTATTGTAGCAAGAAGTTTCGGATGCATTCACGCGGAAGTCTGGGTCGCTCCTTTCCTTCATTTGAGGGTTGCTTGTTTTTGTTATAGTTGATGTTGTTGTTGTTGTTGTTCCAAATGTATGTAATCATTTCCCCTACTTTCAGGTCGAATCAGCAAAAACAACTTTACAAAGTATTCTACAACATTCTGCCTGTCTACTCCTAAAAGGCGCATCTCCAGAACGTTTGTTGTTGTTTCTATTTTTTTTTAAAAGAAACTTTCGCGCTGTGCCGCACATTAACCCTACACAAGAAGACAAAAAAAGGATGCATAAAGAAAGAAAACTATCTGATGATTTACAATTTTCATAATGTACATCATTCTAATTGTCAAAGGTATCCTTCTTTAGAGAAGTATTTTCGAGTTTAGGAGAGCTGTATTATTCTCCGAAGAAAGTACGATTAGGTTATGTGTTTCAACGTATACAAGAAAAACTGCCGTATCAAAAGAACGTGAAGTTGGCGACACTGCGATCTTCCGGGGCTTCCCCGCTAAGGCGCTCTCGCTCTAGCGCAGCAGCTCCCTGTCGCCGTCTACTCGAGGACTGGCGTGTAGGGCGACATGCAGCGGATTCATAGAGTATCACAAGCCTTGGGATACGCAGAAGGCTCATAGAGAGCGTTTGCTAGAGCGATTTTTGTCGAAAGGAAAACTGTAAACGATTTGCACACGAAAGATGATCATATTTGTACATCTTCATAGTGGATGTACAAAAAATCTTTCTGTATGAGCATAGAGCAACATTTGTATGACTAACAAGAATAAAATGATATAACGGGCTCGTTGTGAGAGTCGCATTTAAACAATGTTGCAATGTTTATTTATTAACTTGTCTATCAACCTTAATTGTCATTATTCAACAGAACCTGGGGAGGGGGGATTCGGCAGTACGCGAGCCTTTCACTCGTGGAAGACTTATCTACTGTCGAATATGGGCCCAAGTTTCGACTTGGGCCTATTTGGAAATAAAACTTAGACTTAAGCTGGTAGGAAGGCTGTGAGGAGAGGTGTCTATTACCCCAATCGCCTGGTAGGGACCGGAAACTAGGGAATGTGATGACAAAACCTCGGATTTACGTTATGAAATACCGCACTATCCGTCAGATCAAAGGAACTGAAATAATCTGTTTTGTAAAATTCATTGAACTACAGTCAATAGCCGAAACAAAACTATAAATCGAATACTGCAATTACACGGTATGCTTAGTGTAAAGTAGGTACCCAAGTGCAAGGCTGCTGTTCTAATGACCCTAGTAACTGACTGCCCGGAAAAAGTAATCATGCAATCCCAATGGTATTCCACACAACTCGTTTATTAGGTTGTCTATCAGCCGAAAATATCATTATTCAACAGAACCATTGGTTGGGAGTTTTCCACTGTACGCGATCCTTTCACTCGTGGAAGACTTTTTTACTGTCGGATATGGGCCCAAGTTTCGACTTGTGCTTATTTGGAAATAAAACATAGGGAATATCTGGTAAGACGGTGAGGAGGGATCAGCCCAGTCGCTTGGCAGGGACCGAACTTTAGTGGGTGTGATGACAAAACCTCGGATTTAAGATAAGAACCCACTACTGAAATACAGCACTAACCCTCAAATCAAATGAACTGAAAAAATATTTCTCTAAAAATCAATGTCAACAGCCGAAACAAAGCTCTGATATGAATACTGCGAAAACACGGTATGCTAATTGTAAAGTAGGTACGGAAGCTGAAGTGTCTAAAGAAGAAAACTGCTTTAACTCTTCCTTACGTCGGCTATTAAACGTAAGAACAGGATTTGTGATTTGTTGGCCAGCACTTTCAATTGTAAAACGTTTTTATGTATTACCGGTCGGTCTTTGCTTTTGCATTTTATTCTTAGTTTCACGCCCATTTTATTTTTCGTGGATTGGGAAGTGAAAAGCTACTTACACGTGGATTTACATTCGTTTCTTACTTACTTTTCCACGTAAATAGCTGCTTTGTCAGTTGACGATCTAATTTCTTCAGTGGCAGAGAAAAATTCGCATTTGTTTTATTAATGTACGTACCGATACCTACTTAACAATATAATATATACTGTACGTAATATCGTTGTAATAACTACGATCAAATCAATTCCGAGGGAATCACAATGTATGGCTTTGGGAAAAGCTTTAATTCCGAGTTACATTTGGATATTAATTTACCTTCAAATGATATACAAGTAATGTGAAGAATTATTTGCATTTCATGGTATGATACAGAGGATATGGATAGTTGTGTGAGGGAGGGTGGGTGCCGTAATGGAAGGGTGGGAAATGCTTGATTAGCGTGCAAATCCAGAAAACTATGTATGAACGAAATACATGAATATCGTATGTACTAATTTAATACTTGTGTTTCAAAACGTTCCGGGATATTTAGTATAACGATTTGTAATGTATGTGAAGAAAGGAAATAACCAATTGGATTTCGATGGTATTTCCAAGAGCATATATTTTGGTACAACGCAATCTTTGCTCTGCTGTTCATCGTCAACGTCTGGGTAGCGAGGAGTACCTGGAGAATGAAGTTATGTTCGCAAGAAATTATTGGTGCAGTGATAATGAAGGACATGAGCGACGCCTTTATTGTTTTCAGGGGTACGTTTACTTGTAACTTTCTTGTTTACCTTCTTAATTATTACGTTCTTTATTATACGTTAGTAAGTTTTTTGATAATGGGCAAAAGATATTACTCTTTTTTCTTATTTCAGTCCATAGGTGATATATATTTGAAGTAATGAATGTAAATTAGTCAAAATATTAATTGAAACAATTATTGATCCCAAGATTAATTTTAATACTTATGTAATTAATCTATAGATTTATTATATTTTGTGAACATGACAGTTTGTCTTCTGTTACAAGAATGTCAGATGTGCATGTGAAAGATTGCTGATAAAAAAACTAGTGAATACTAAGAAAACCAAGTAGGGGACTCTTATTAGTGAAAATGAAATAAACGTTACTTGTTGAAAGAAATCAATTGGTAACCATTGACATCTAAATTTGCAACTTGCATGGTTTGTACAAATGTCATAGTTTTGGGAGAAATATTGTGTGCCCTTTACTCCCCCCTCTCTCTAATTCTATTAAGAAAACATTTGATTTTTGCAGATTTCATGTAGCACTTCTTCCTCCTTCACAGCAAAGAATTTATCATGTCAGTTTTGTGGGACATATTTACATATTTAAATGTTTGCACTCCATAGTTCTCATCATAGTTGTACAGTCAGAACAACAAAGTGTTAAAATTCAATTGCCTCTTGATCTCTGGCAGTTCAAGAGTTTTTATTGATAATTGCAATATTGTGTGAAATAAAAGTTTTTAATTCTGGAAATGTATTCACTTTTCCACTTACTTTTAAAAACATGCTAATTACAAAATCTTACTTATTTTAAAATAAAATAAACCTTTTAAAGGTATTCTCTGCTTGTGTAAATAGTAAACTATTTTTTTTCTTATTACGTATTATATTTGAAAATTTAAAATACACTACAAAATTTATTTTAAATATTTTATTTGAAATGTTCAAATAACCTAGTTATTGGCACAATATTAATGTCTATGGATTATTGTCTTCTACTGTCAGATATTCATACATTTTGTTAATGAAACCATCATTTCAACATCATATATTTATTATACAGTGAGAACAACAGAGTGCATATGATAACATGATTTGTGCTGCTTCAGTCACTGTCATCGTCATTCTGACAGCGGTTTAGTGGTCGTCGACTTTCTTCATCTGAACCATATATAACATCCTCATCAGAATCATTAATCATAGAAAATGCAGGATTATCTTTGGTGATTGTGGATTCTGAAAACAAGAAGTTGTACTTAGTTATTTTAAAGAATACAATGAATTATTTTAAAGAATTTTCATTTCAACATACCAAAGACTGCTCCTGTTGCAGGGGAATATACATATGCCATCGTGTACAAATAGAAGTTTAAGAGACCATAAAATGACATAAACTCAGCAGAATTCTTATAAGTTGTAGAAAGTTCTGCCACAAAATTGTCTTCCAAAGCACCCACACCAAATCTCAACACAGTAACAGTAAAACTTATAGAAAGAACAATCAGCATCAATAGAGTAAGGAACTTCAAACGCATGTCTGCAATAAAAAGAACAGTTATAAGTGTACAGTAATGGTACACAATTTACAATGATGCATCTAGAGTGAATGGGGGTCTGCAGCTTCCCCAAAAGCCAATGACACACAATCACACTATAGTTTCTACTAATTTTCTCTAGTAATCAAAGTCATCATAATCTCAATTGAATATGTTGTAAGTCACTGTAAATCAGTAAATAAAAATAAATTTAAAATTCAGCATAAATTAAAAGTTCTTTATAAGAAAACATTGATTCTGCTGGACACTACACCTACAGGAATCCCTTCCACACTTACTGAAAAATATTTCATTTGGCCACTGCCATTTTGTAACACCAGAAAACAATGAAGTAAAGAAAGTGTGTAAAAAGAATGAAAATAGAATCGCTTCCAATTCTGCAACTAAACGAGTCAGAAATTAAAGGTGGTGTTCAAGATATACAAACTTAACCTACAATCTCTGAGATTGTTTTTAATAAGAAATATTGAAATTGAATTAGAAAACATCTTTTCATTAAATTTTGAATTTCAGTTTATTAAATCATAATTCAAAGAAACTAAACTTACCAAAATATGGCATTGATCGAAGTTCACTATAGGCCCTTAGAATAAGACACAGGAGATAAGTCAGATAGACCCCACAAACAATGCAAAAGAACACTTTGAAGCCCTGAAACAATACAGTACACATGAATCATAATCTTTTTGCCTGTTGTGCATTCATACAAAGCATGCTTTGTCTTCTGAAAGTGCTTTTATAGGTATGGGATGGCCTCTCCAATGCATTATGTCAGAGACAAATGTTTTTTAGGTATCAAACTTACATAGAAGTTTGAAGTGTCCAATTTATAACTGTATGTTGGATCTCGAAATTCATTATATTTTTGTAGTGATGCCATAATAACTGCTGCAAGCCACAAGGATCCAACAATTATGAGTTTTGGCAAATAGAATGTCAGAATTCGCCTTTCATTCTGAAAAGATTAAGTCAGAAAAAAACAGGATTATAAATTACCTTACTTGAACCATGAAACATTTTTTAAAATTATATGAGGCACAGAATGCATATACTTGAAGACATGGAGTGTCGACAGATCCCAGTTAAGAGTGAAGAACTGATGGATTTATGATGGAACCTCAAGGTGATCACTCTTTCTATCATAATAACACATAATTTTATTACTGAAATCCTACTATTCAAGAATTTAAAGAATTCAAAAAACACTCCAAGTTATCACCTAGTTCTTTTTTTAATTCATATAAGGTGAATTTAGACAAATAATTAACAGTAATGTAATAATATAACTTGTAATGGCAACATTTGTTGTAATTTTCATGTAAATACACCATTCCTTCTGCCATTCCATTAACTATGAACGAAGTATTTCTGTATTAATAAATTGGCAATACAGTAGCTCTACAGGTGTCCAGAAGCTCCCGTTACAAAAAAAAGAATCCCTAGATTCTACGTTGACTTAAATAAAGAATGGCAGATCCAGTTTTTTCGGAAAAAAAAAATTTTTCTTAAAAGAAATTGAATTTGAATGCTACTTCCGGGCGTGAAATTCAAACCGGCTGCTGCGACACGGCGTCTGTCTACGGGGCTGAAGGTAGCGTCGTTTCTTTCTATTTTCGGTGAAACTGTCCAGAGAAGCAAGCATCTGTTACAGTACACTAGAGTACTTTAATAGTATCACGTGTTATATGCGTACTTTTCATTTAATCTTGTAAATTGACTAAAAATTCATTTTCTGTTAAACGAGTAGGCCTATGTGGCCACTGTGGTATGCAGTGGCGTAATAACGAGCACAAACCAGCCTTATGAAAATTAACAAAGTTCTTAAAATTCCTACAATTATTTTTTGCATATTTTCACAGTGAACTAATATATTGTGCTTTAGAAAACCACATTCGATAAACGAGTTCCCTGCAGCACTGTTTTGAAATCACGCCCGGAAGTAACATCCTTCGTACGCCTTCCTTCGAAGGAGAAGTAAAGCCGGCTGTCCCATGTTAGATTTACTGCACGTAAAAGACCCTCAAGACTAAATGAAGCCTCAGAGCTAAATTCAAATCGCGTGTTTCGTCGCCCAAGTAATACCTCTTTTCTCCGCTAGTTGGTGAAAGGAGCGTAGCGAAATTTGCGTGGTCTGACGGAAGAGCAGGCCCCACGACTTGAGTCTCGCCATGTAAAATAAGGCTTCAATTCAATTCAATATAGAATTTGGGGTATTTCTTTGTAACAGGAGCTTCTGGCCACCATGTACAATTATTTTTATATTACTTAAATGAAAAATTAAACCAAAAAAACATATTTTTGAGATCAATCGAAGATAATTGATAATATTATGTAAAAGTAACATACCTGACGTAATCCATGATATATGCACAGCCAAAAGAGTAAAAGTGCGCACAGAAAAGTAGCTTGGAGAACAGCATCCAGCATCCCTGATACCCATGAGTTAACAATAAACATCATTGGGAAAATTGGATCTGAAAAGTCAGAGTTTTGCATCTCATATTACTGCAGACTGTAAAATGTTAAGTAAATTGTCAAGTTAATCAAAATATACCTCTAAATGAGTTAGTGACCAGTAGATAAACATTCCAAAATTTACATGTAAGGGACCTGATGTGTCCTATTATGACATATTATCACATGATTAGTACCTACATAGGCTCACCTTTTGGAATATTTGTAATGAAATTCTTCATCCAACATATCCAAATTCTCATAAAATTGTTTTCTGAGAAGGATTTGTTTCAACTTTGTGTACATTTGTGAAGAAAAACATTCACAGAAAATTTCATAAAAACTACTCATATTTTTTTAAAATTGTACATGATCAGATTTAAATATTTTAATTTTAAAGGACAAATTTAATTAAGGAGAAAATCTGTATCTGAATATTGTAGTTGTAGGAAGGCACCAACAATTTTAAAATTTTTGCAATTTTGGAAATTTTAGAGAATTTGATGAAAATCGGATCTGCGCCATATGCATAACAAACTTTGTTCTATTCAATAAAAAAATAAAAAATTGTGAGCCATTTTTGAAAAAAAAAAAAAAAAAATCATTGAAAATGTCTTTGAGGTTGCATGTAAAGTACCTCAAAAATTAAAATATTCCTTTCAACTTCAAGGGACCAGAATGTCAGCCAGATCAATCGAGGAGTATCAATTTCGGTAAAAATCCTACTTATGGTTTAGTTGCTAGCATTCATAGACAGAGAGATACACTTACAAACAGAGAATGTGAATTCTGACTACAAAACGTTTTAGAGAAAGTAATTTACTATTTATAGAAATAAAAGTTATTACTTGTAGTAAATTTTCCTTTCTCAGCATTAGGGACCTACAATGAGAATCATTGCTTTTCTGCAGCGTTACATTACTTTCTTTACAACACATACTCAACTTTTGAAAATGTTACCCTCCTCGGCTCCTTTTACATTACCAAATTTATACGTATTAATAATATGTTACTCTCTTTTCCATTAATTACTCTTTATTATTGAATGACAATTTTTCGTATTATTAAAATAATGTATGTGATCAGGGGTTGGGGTGGGGGGGCAACTTGCCCCAGGCCCTGACTTAATTGGGTCCTGAATTTTTTTTTCGTTGAAAAGAAATTAAAAATGTGTTCATCTCTAATCCACATTTAACACTAAGTTATTTCTGATGCAAGGAGAAATGAATTCTGTTTATGAATCGAGGGAGGAGGCAATGTTTTATTTGAAATGTGGGTCCCCTGTGGATCAATTGCCCCACGCTCCTGGGTTTCTCTAGGCAACCTGAATGTGATAGCACTACTTTACTTCCTAATGTATTTGCAAATTTGATATCAAAAAGTTTAATGAAAACATTAGGTTAGAGCTAATTTCATTTAAAGTAATTTTAAATTTCACTTACCATTATATAACAGCAAAAGGGGTAACAAAACTGACATCCACTTCTGTTCAGTGGACCAGTCATGTACAGCATACTTTCGAAGACTGTGCCCAAACCAACACTGTGGAGATTTAAAGTAACGATGAAACTTCACATATTTCAGAATTTCAGTTATTTATTAAAATGTAGCATTTGATTGTAAACTTACTGTCACAATAAACGTTGTTAACAAGAAAATGAAACGAAACCAAATTTCAATTTGTGTAAATGCTGGATTATAAGATTTGAACTGCAAAAGAGTTATTGCACAGTGTTAATTAACATGAAGTACTTAACATTCTGGTAATTCATTAATTAGTTGTTTAATAATATAAATGATTATAAAATATAAAAAAAAAACTAGTTTTCTTACATAGAAAGTTACATCCTGTATAACGTAACTGCGATGGAAAGTTTCCAATCCTTGAAACTGTACTGTTATGTTATAATGAACGTAGTTCAAGAAACCAAGATGCATTACTATAAATTCATCACATGTTAACTGCTCACATCGTAGATGTCTGGGTCTACACACAAGAACAGTTTGGTTATCAGAACAAAATGCCTTCAGGTGAATATTAATCAATTTGAAAGTTGTAAATATTTAATAACAAATACGTGTTACAATATTTGAAAATATTTCCATATAGTGACCTGTTTAATTTTGCAGTGCTTGTACAATGAAGTATCCATTTTTACATATTCATGAAATGATTTGCACTGATTTTTGCACAGTAGTAATCTTAAAACAGGGAGGTCTTTTAAAGTGTTTTTAAAAAGTATGTATTTTACTAATTATTTAACAATATTAAAAATTGTATTGTTTATTACTGAAGAAATTGGTTTATATAATACATATCATTATCATTACCATCATCAGATAGAATAAAAAATATTATCACCAATGACATTACATCAGGTATTTGAGCCATGGATGTTATAAGAAATGTAGGTTTATTCAGTGATGTCATTTCCAAGTTATTACATAGGATGATCTGAAGTTTACAACTCTGCAATTCTCTAAGTATCCCATGATGATTATGAAACTCACTTTTAAAGGAGAGTTTCAACTGATCTCACAAACTATAGACCTATCTCTATATTATCTCTTTTTTATGGAAAAAAAATAATAGAAAAATATAATGTTAGTAATTGAAGTATCTCTCTCTATGACAAGAACTGATCTGAAAAACTGATGGTGAAAGTTGCAGACTGCATTTACTCTAACTACAACAAAAATCTTGGAGTAATAGCTGCATTTGTTAACTACAAAAAAGAGTTTTTTTTTAAATTTATTGTACCTGATCAGCGGATAAAAAACTTTACAGGTTTGAAATAGGATACAAACATAAGGATAATAAGTTATACTATGTTAATTCAAAAGCATCGAGGTACTTGCAATTAAAAGAACTTGGCCCAATTTTATATGTGAGAGGGAATTTCCTTTGGGAACTTCATTTTTATAGATTTTATTCTCAGGGCAGTGGTGTGATGGGAGTTGGAAAGGGGGAAGGGGAGTGATAGGATTACGTGTTTATTATGTTTATGGAGATCTGAATTGATCTTTAGAAAGTTGTGATTTAATTCTAGTAGGACCATTACTGGATTTTCCCAGGTTGTAGTCTGGCACCTGGCCGAGAACCAGGTGTAGGTTGGTGAAGATTTTTTTTCTTAATGTTAAAATGTGCTGAGTAATGATATTGATGTTAAATTCTCTGTGGAGCTGAGTATTGGAAATATACCATGGAGCATTAACTGACATTTGAAGGATTTTATTTTGAAATACTTCCTTTTAGGTTTGTTTTTTGTGCAGCACCATCATAAACGTAACAGACATATATTAGTGAATGTCTTAATGTAGTTTTATAAATATGCAGGGCTATGTCAGTTGAGTGCCGATGCATGGTTTATTAGAGGATACAGGTTGAAGAGAAAACAGAAGTTTTGTTCAGTCAATGAGTATGAGGTTTCCATGGGGCGTCCACATGTGACAAGTGTCTAGGATTGCTCCTAGGTATTTTATGAACTTGTTGAATGGGAACCAAGGAACTGGTGAATTTGCTATTGTGATAATTGGAGAGTGGGTTATTCTTTTAAGTGCGAAAATTTTTGCTTCGTGTTTTGTTGCATTTAAGTGCAGGGGCCATTTTGCTGCTCAGTCAAAGAAAGTGTTAATGGCTGACTCTAAATTGTTGATTCCTATTGTAGATCATGGTTTGTAGAGAATATTGTGATGTCATCTGCATATAATCTCGTGGAACAGGCTGTGGTACTTGGTACATCAGCTGTAAAGCAAATTAAAGAGGGTCGGGGAGAGAGGCGAACCTTGGGGTACCCATGCTTGAATTAACTTAGGGGCGGAGAGAGAAGAATTTATTCTAACCGAAAAGTCTAAAAAGACTTTGCTAGTGAAAAAAATAAGCAATATTGCTTATTTTGAAATGCTGATCCTATGGTTTCCACTATTCTGAAAAGCTGGTGGATGGATGAATGATGAGAGCATGATCCGAATTGAAAAGGAGGGATGACTTTCGTATCTTGAAGAAATTTATTAAGTTTGATTAGAATCAGTTTCTTGAAAGATTTTGACAATATCAGCCACCAACTGTAGTTAGATAAACTGAGACATACTGAGAAGATGGTATCTACATGAAAATATATGAAAGTTACTTGCAAAATAGAAAATGTCTGGAAAAAATTATTCATAAGGCAAAAAATTATTTATAAGGTTAGATATTCTACAAGTCTCAAGTGCTAAGTAAAATATACAAAATAAGAAAATATATTTAAGATACAGAAAAACCCAATTAGTGAATTCATTTAATGAAATCCTCTCCTATCTGTGATTTACGTAAAATCGACATTACAATAGAGTGTATGTTCAGTTTAAAAAAAAATCATATTTGGAAATATTCAAATTATGGAAATTTTTAAAATCAGACATTTTTCAAGAAAAAATAATACAATATTCTAGAGCAATAAAATATTGATAAAATTTAGTTTTAGTTTCTCAATGTTTTGTTAAATTGTAATTGATTAATTTCATAGTGCTTACATCATCATCATCATCATCATCCATCATCGTCCATCATCATCATCAATTGCAAGTGTTTAGGTATGATCCTATTCCTATTTGTGCAGGTTCAGTAGACATAGTAGATTAATCTTCTGGGTGTTCCTGATTTTTCCATGTCTTTAAAGGATTTCCAACGTCTTAGTTTCCAATTGCATTATATTTCCAGATGAGTTTTGGTAGTATGTTACTCTCCATCCTGCAAATGTGTTCTTTCCATCTCTTTTGTGATTCTTCAGTCTCTTCTATTAGATTTTTGGTTTTACTTTCCCCCATATGTATGTACAGAGTAATGTACATAGTATTGAGAAAGTTATGTAATGCTGCAGAAAATCAATTTTGGGATTTAAACGGAAGTACATGTTTTGGGGACTCCGGATACCGAAAAAGTCTTTTTCTTCTTTCTTTTTCAAAACTTCTGTCAGTCCATGAACACCACTTGCGCATGAACCATACATATGAGTTTTTCCAAAATGAATGTTCCCCAGTCGATCTGGCTTCACTCAAGACGCCGCGATTTTAAAAACGTGTTTCAAAATTTAGGGGTACTTTACTTGAAGCCGCTTGGACATATTTAAAATTTTCTCAAATGGCTCCAAATGTTTTCTTTAAATTTCTTGTAAGAATACAGTAAAATACACTTGCAAAGACATAAGTAGATTTTCATGGTTTATCTCTAAATTTTCGAAAATTGCAAAAAATTGTTTTCCTCGTCTTCCCAGAACTACAAAATTGAAGATAGGGATTTTTCCTTTAAATAAAATTTGTTGTTCATAGTGAGTCATGTACATTTTTGTAAACTTGATGAAACTTACAAAAACAAGATTTTCTCAAAAACGGCTTCACATTTTTGTCTTCAAACGTTCGGTAGGGATAGTGATATATGCACTCTATAAGATGACATAAACACCATATTGCTCTATTCTATTGTTTTTTTCAAAAATTACAAAATGTAATTTTTTTGTCTTGTCTCTCACATCATTAATATTTACATTGATGGCAACTTGCTCACATTATTGTATCATGTGCTTTAAATAATGTTATATAAAGTTTCTCAAAAACTCAAGCGTTTTCTGTGAAAACTAGCTCAAATTCCTCACACAAATGTAATTTATTTGAAAGATCTCTCATGCCGTTAATATGCACGTTTCCAGTGATTTGTAAACACTATTCTGTATTTGAGTTAAAATGCTTTCAATTACTTCCACTGAAGTTTTTCAAAAAATAAAAAATTATCTGTTAAAAAGAGCTTGAAATTTTGAATTTACACTAGGGTTTAGATGCCATTTTCTTAAAAACGGCTTCGACTTTTTGAAAGAAGATTGCCATTTGTGACAAGGTTTTACTGTTCTTTAATATTCTTAAAATAATATTTCCGTTCTACTAATAGAAAACCGAAATTATAAAAAAAAAGAATTAAAATGTATTTTGGGTGGCGATAGATGGCAGTTGGCACGAGTATGTGGCAAGTTTGTATAGCTAGATGAGACCAAAGAAAATAGAAAATGAATAGGGAAAGACTGTGCCATTCTTGTAGCACCACTAGCTTAGTTTTCTTCTAATATCTTTGTTTCTCAACCTTTCCCTTCTCAAGACTCCTAAGAGGTGCCTTAAGAATGTCATTTGTGCTTTCTGTATTTTCTGCTTGTTTTCTTTCATTATCCATGTTTCTGAACCATATTGAAGCATTGGTTTAGTTGTGATGTAATGAAGTTTAATTTTGTGGTAGAATCCATATCCTTCACAATGTGTCTTTTAATAGTTCCCCACATTCTTTCCACGTAGTTTTCTGTCAATGACTCCTTGAGTGTGGTTTAGTACATCAATTCTGTTTCCCAGGTAAGTGAATTCTCTTACTTGTTACTCTCTTACTATTTCCCCATTTATTTCAATTTTAACTCTTTTTTGTTCCTTTCATTGCACTACCATGGATTTTGTTTTACTAATTGATATTCTTATAGAATATTGCTGTATAACTTTATATAGTTCAAAAATTGCCCTCTGTAAGTTTTCTTCAGATTCTGCTACGATTCCCTGTACATCTGCCTTCAGGATTGTATCAATCTTTCTCTCTCTTTCAATTAAAATTCTCAGGTTCATCATTTTCTGCAAACTACTTTTTAAGTGGTTAATATAGATGTTGAAGAGAACCAGTGATAAACCACAGGCTTGTCTAAGGTCACTGCTAGTTGTTTTTGGTGTTGAGTTTCTCCCTTTTCCTAGTTGTATTTTTATTCTGGATTTCTCATAAAGGCTTTCTAATGCTTTAATTAAATGATGAGGGATTTTCTCCTCTTCGAAGATTTCCCATAATTTCTTCCTGTCAACTCTGACATGCTTTTTCGTAGTCCACAAATATTACAATTGTAGGTAGGTTTACTTCTTTTGTTTTATCCATGAGCATTTGTAATGTGAAGATGGCATTTTGGTGCTGCTCCTGTTTCTGAAGCAACACTGTTCCTCATCCAGAAATTTCTTGCTTAATTCATTGATTCTGTTCCTTATGACATTTGCATAAATCTCTGAAGTTGTTGATAGTAATGAGATTCCCCTGTAGTTGTTGCAGCCTTTCTTAGAGCCCTTTTTGTGAATATTGGTGATTAGTCTTCCCTGCAATCTGTTGGTATTTTCCTTTCTTGCCAAATTTTATTGAAAAGTTCAAGTAGGGTTCTTTTAGTTTCTTTCCCCTATATGTTATTAGTTCTAAATTTACCATATCTGTTTCTGGGCCTTTTCTGTTTTTTTGCTTTTCTCAATACTGTTTCAAGTTCTGACATTTTTATTAAGTTGTTAGTGTAATCGTCAAGGTATGTTTGTTTTGTTTCTGTTTCCTTCCTTCTTTGTTGTTCCAAAGCGTGTGGTAGTGTTTGATTCAATCTTCCTCTGGGATGTTGTTCATCGAGATTGTATCTTTTTGTATTCAAATTAAGATACTTCAGAATTTTGAACCCTATTCTCTGAGAACCTGTGATGACTCTCTCTAGGCTTTTAATGTACCGTCTCAATTCTCTCTTCTGTACCTTTGGCTAAGTTGTCTTACTTTGGCCATTACTTTCTTGCATTCTGTGTGTTTTAATGTCCATTTTTGCAGGTAGGTCCTGTAAGCTTGTTTCTTCTTGGTTATGTAAGCTTCTTTCTTCATTTCTTTAATGTCACTGTCTTATTTCCTCAACCATTTCTTCTTCTTGCAAGGTTTTATCCCCACGCTTTCCTTCCCTCCATCAAGCATTGCCTGTTTAATTGAATTCCAGAGTGTTTCAATATTCTCTTTATCTGTTGTCTGCAATTTGTCTTCAAATCTTCTTTCATACTAGTTACTTTGAGCTTGGGATTTAATTTTCTCTCCTTTCTTCTATTTTCAACTTGTGAATTTTGCTTTCTAAAAAATGATGATTGGAATCAGAGACACATTTTTATTGATGTCATTTACAGTGTGACAGTGAGTGATACAGGCCAACAATGGGCATTTAGAGATCTACTGTATGAGAAACGAATGTAAAAATGAAATGTGATAATATGCTTTAGTTTTTCCAGAAATATTTTCCACAGAACTTGTAACAATATCCGTAGCTCTTTAGCTACCTAATCGTTAAAATTAATAATTTAAATAAATTCATACAAATGAATAAGAATGGCCAGTTTGGGATTTCAAATTATGCTAAATATTAACAATACTGATTGCAACATTTACTGCATTACATGTTTCTTTTCACACTACAATGGTGGAAATAACCGTTCAATTGTAACATAATAATAGCAATGTTTTACCCAGCCAACTTCTTGAAGTATACTTCTTCATAAATTTTTTTTTTACATACCCATGAAAGTTTAGGAAAACACACTTATTGGGGTTAGGGTTTGGTCAACCAAACTTCTTTCAAAAAGTATGCAAATATATAAATTTGAATGAAAACAAGCATAAAAATCATATGTAATAGTCCATTTACAGTTCATCAAAGTCTTTCTTATTGAAGACCGAAAATAGTGTTAGTTTGTTTACGTTTGAAGAAATAAAAATGGAGTAGACAATTTGCAGATGTGAAACATTGAAAAGAAACTTAAATGTTTATGTCAGAGCAAGCGAATCTATCTAATATCATTTCAGGTAACAATGCAATATCGTCATGCAAATGCATTCACGCAAGTCTTATGAGACCTATAGAATAAAATAATTTAAAATTCACAGTTGATTTTCAGTTTCACTTGAAGTTCTGTCAGAATGATAAATGTATTGTAATTTTTATTTCTTCCTAAAGTCAAATAAAATCAGAAAAGTTATATAAAATTTCCACTACAAAAATTTTATCCAAGCGAGGGCCATGTTCCCCATGCCCCCCTCTGCCTCTCATGGATTTGCCCTTCAATGGAATAATGCAAAAATGGAATTTTTCTGACCACATCCAATTTGAAAATTCCTGTGTAAAACCCTACATAGTATAATTTTTTTAAATATTTTCTTAACAGTCTTGTTAGTAAACTAGATTATTTAATTTTGTTAATTCATTTTATTCAGTGTTTTTAATAGCCATGATTTCTTATTCTTCTGTTTTAATTCTTTGCTTTCATGTATCTTCTTTATAACTCGCAGAAAAGAAAGTAAACAAACGTCTGCAAAATGTGGGTTTTACTACAGAATTCTTTGCTACAAATTAACTTTATATTTCTGTTTTTGTTAGGAAGAATATCATTCTCCAAAATGTCAATTTTTCAATAATTGATATGTAATAAATACCTGTTATGTGCATTACTTTTTGGAAGAATAGTAACTGAAGAGTGGCCTCCTTGCAGACCATCAATGGAAACACTTATGTTGAAGCCTTTAACTTCAACTATCACTTCTATGAAAGGAAAAAAATACAAAATTGTCAGTTGCTATTTAGTGAGAACTCATGAATATCATGCACAGTAAATAAAAAAAATGTAAGATTTACCATTAATATTTTTCGTTGTTATTTTTGCAATCACCCATAGTTGTTGACTGTATGTCGACATGGCTGGGCTGTGCATATTGAATGGAGTGTTAGCTGCATCATTACTGCTCAAATTGAATTTGTGTTCCGATGTACTAGTGATTGGAGGCCCTGAAACAGTAGTTTGTGTATTACAGCAATTTATAGTGTATCCTGAAAGTATTACGTGTTAACCAAGAGATTATTAGATAAATTTAGCCTCTATTTTTTAAATTTACTTTCTGGTTTACCTGCTAGACCTATGAAGACAGCTAATCCAAAACATGCAAAGAATGCTAAAAATACCATAACGAATTCCCGTTTATGCATTGTGTAAAGGCGCATTTGGACAGACCTGCAAACAGAAAAATTTGTTTTTCAGAGCAACATACCAATCCTAATTGCATTACAACTCATAGCACTACCTTGTACAATTTTTTTTTTAATAGTATAATACCTTTCGCAGCGATCATGGTGATACGCTGGTGCTATATATCTATTAAATTCACTGAAAAGATCACTGAACTGAGACAATGTATTACGAATACGTAAACTCCACCCAGCAGATGGCAGATGGTATGAATATCCTAAACCTACTCCATCAACTTTAGCCATTTCAGTCTTCTGTTTTTTCAACTTGTTTGATTTTACTCAAGTTCAAAAAACCACATAGCTGCCCCAGGCACCTAAAACAATATTTTCAATGTTACAGGAATATAAAGATGAAACACTGGAAGGAAAACAAAACATAAAAAAATACAAAACTTCATGACAATTGAAAGGATTGTGTGTTTTTAAATGCCTAATAATAAAAAATTACCGAAAATATTATCAAAACCCTGCCTCTTTACAAGAGATAATTTTATAATTTAACTGAGTTCATCAAAACTTACTGAACATTTTTATATTACATCAATAATGAAATAATATTCAGAAAACATTGATATTTAATATTTCTATAATTTCTTCTTCTAACTATTTACGCATTATTTGTGACAATTCTGCTTTTCATGTCATTTAAAAAGTAAGCAAGTAACTATCAGTAATATTTCGTCTTTAAGCTACATTAATGTTTATTTAACCCTTTGAGCATACATTTATTATTTTTGTGTTAAATTAAAATATTAAATTTTATTCAGACAGTTCAACTAATCACGAAAACTACATAGTTATGAAAGAACAAATTTTTTTTAGTGGGGAGATATATTTTTGATTTTGCAGAAGTTCTTGGCGATAGTAATAAAGCCTGTGAACAGCTTATCAGGAAACTTGCTGAGCGTTCATAAAGGTGAAGTTAAGACGGAATTCTCACTTCTGGCGGGCTATCCAGCTGAGTTAGATATTCATGACAGTAAAACAAATGACCTGATGCGTTACCGAAGCTCGCAAATCCACTGTACTTCACAGCCCACAGCCGACGAGTGTCCGGACTCTGCGAAACGGTACCTTCCTTCGACGGAGGCCAGACGGCCTGGCCATTTCCATGGCAACAATGTATTGATCGTAAAGCCAGGCACCTGCGACGCCACGCTTTGGCTGGAAATTTCATTACAGAGAGAAAAAGTGTTTGGGGAAACATTCAGTTCTTGCCCAAATAACGCTAGGAGGATCGCTAGGAAGATTCAGATATCAAAGTTGTTAGAATGTTGTACGAAATTCATGGATTTTCCAACGATTCCAACGCAGCTGAAATTGTAATTCTTCGCTCTTGAGTAAACGCTCGAATTGGGGAATTGTTTAATCGGAATGAACATTTTTAGACTGGGTAATTTAAATGAAGTTGGAGTTGGGATTCTTATTTTTGAAGATGAATCATTTCGTGGAAGATGGAAGAGTCAGTATGGTCATAATAAAACATCCGAATTACCATACTTATTAAAATTATCGCGGTTGTAAACTCGATTTTTTAATATCTCCTAATTCATTCCCATGCTTTGATATCGATGATGTGATATTGAGTCCAACTTTTCCCAGATCCTAAATACGGCGACAATATTGGCACGAGTTTAACTAGGTTGTAACTCAGGAAAATAGGCCTCGTGGAGGGATACATATTCGTAGATACCGTTTTTATTATTTCGGAGGTAGACAACACATCTTACAATCGTAGGCGTGAGCAGCATGGTACGAGGGCCGTGCCCTAAAAATTTCGGAAGGGGCCTCGTAGCGCTACGCAAACTTATCCTGAAACTTTCCGGAAACATATCAATTCCTTATTTTCTCCTTTTCTAACCAAACAATTTGGAGAATTGATACACATTTGGAGTCTCTCCGAATCATCCGATGACATTTAAATGATTCCAACATAAATTGTAAATATTCATATTATCATTAAAGTTACAATTTCACTCTCCTTGTAATGTTTTATTTATTTTATAATAAAATATGTCGTATGTAATTTTTTAATATGGAAAAGTGGGCCCAGAAATATAGTTGCCCCCCTGTTGTTTTAGACTGTACATGCCAATGACACAAAAATAATTATTTATTTTTATATTTGTATATTTATTCCTTACCTTCCTCCTACTCTTTACAAACAGTAGCTAGAATTCCTGAGAGGGAGGAATACACGGTGGTAGGCCTTTACTGTGAAACTTTTGTACTAGTTGTCCATTGACATTGATTCTTTTTCTTCCATACACTCTTGATTGCTTCAATTTTTACCATTTTGTGTGGAAATATTTATTGTGCATATTGTTGAGGGATACCTCCAATAGATCTATAAAAGTTCTTTCCTATTTGATAAAATGTCATGCATGTACAAATCTGAGAAATCATATTAAGAACTGAATAATATTTTTGTAAATGTACGTGCCCACTAGTATTAATGCAACTTGCATATTAGGAAATCTCTATTAAATTCAAGAAATTGCAAAGTAAAATGAGATGTTTTACATTTTTTTAACATTCTTAAAAAAGGAGAACAACTTTTTTCTTCTAGTGTTTCTTTCTTTTTTGTTACTTGTAAGGGTGAAAATGGGACATAACACCTGAAAAAAAAATTCTTAAAACATCTTTTTCTTATATAGAAAATTGCAAGGTTAATTAAAATCAATATTCATAGCCTAATGTAGTTTAAAAAAATTAAAAGTTATATACGAAGTTAACAAACACATTTTTATTTTTTTTATTTTTAGGAAGAACTCTGGATAAATTGACTTAAGTCCAGCAATTTTTTTATACCTCAACTTAAAATTTTCAACTTAATTTTTTTTCCTCCCTAGGGGCAGTTTTGCCTACCTGTACCCACCACCCCCTTCATTAAAACAACAATCGTCTTTTACTCTCGTCCTACAGAGAAAATTACTCTTTTGTTTTAAGCAAATTGTATGACAATGTCTGAATATATCATTCAGTAATATTTTCAGACCCTTTTACATAATAGTAATAATTTTGAAACATATTACTAATTTGAATTGTGTGTTATTTTAAGCTTTACTTTATTTAAAAAGAGCTCTTTAAATTATTATGCATGCAATTACCAATAAAATTTTCAATTGGTCGACCAGACATGTATCATCATTCTTTTCTCGAATTCACTTCCTCATCGAAATTTATGTACGCCTTACTCACATGTAACTTTTGAAATTATGACTCTTATTATTTATCTGAAAAGAATGTAACGATATTATCATTTAAACTCTGAAACTGACCTAAATTAATTTATATAAACTATCACTATTAAAGAAACAACTAGTATTTACACTTTACGCCGTAATGTCATTGGTGGACGTTCTATCGCGAGTCTCTGCGTTTTCTACACGTCCTGCTACTTCAAATTATCAAAAGCGACATTAGTTGTTTTTTTTTTTTTCACAAGTTCATTTCTTGTTGTTGAGTCAAAAAATTAAACTACTTCCTTACAAAATTACAAATTAACCCAATATGTCATGACAGCGGATCTCCCATCCTTCTACGCCGTTGTCTGAAATCAATCCAATTCCGAAGTCTAAACTCGTTCTGCGTAACAAGACGCCAAAAATTTAAAACAAAACCTTTTTATTTCTTTTGTTTATCATATCTTATAAATAATTTTGTCATTGAACGTATTAGCCTGCTAACCGTCAACGCCTTATTGCTTGATCACACCAGTGATTGAAAGGTTCCTGATTGGAAGGTTGATCCCTTTCAGGGGCTAGATATTTCTCCTAACATCGGCGTGTTTGCAGTGCCTGAAGGAATCGACGTAAGCCAACTACTCTCATTAGTGTTAATCCATAGTTTCCCCATTGCTTCCAGGTGAATGCTGAAGTACCACTTTCGATAACAGATTGGTCTATGACCTTCCTTCCTTAACCTTTTCCCACTAAGGGTCACGCAATGGGTTGATCACCTACTCTCATCTCACTTATGTTAGGCCTATGACATCCAAGCGTTGCGTTGACGCGCGTTACCTGTTGACGTCAGCTGCGTCGATGCTGTGTACACGAGTCGCTTATTGAATTTGTACCGTCTTTGTTGACGCAACGCGCCTCTGAATCCGTTTTTGAGCGTGTCGTACCTGCCTTGGAGTAACCCTCCATTTTTTCATTATCAAATCGCGTCACGTTGCAGTCAGTGCCTTTTTTCCCTTCGGCCAGGGACTCGGCGCCGTTAGATCCCGGGATTCCTAGCTGGTCACCCAACCAGGAACCCGCAAGGTCTCGAACATACTTAACCCCCGTGACTTGATGTTAACGAATTCCCGGTTCAGGACATGACCGCCTAAGAGGTTTCTATGGCATGTGTTACACGAGCGTTCTGTTGACGCGCGCCACCAAACGTTGATGACGTCAGCTACGTCGATGCCAGCGCACATGAGAAGCTTAACGCGCCTCGCTTAGCGGGGGTCACGCGTTGAAAGTTTAAAAAACCAGCGTTATCTTGACGCAACGCACGTCACCAACGCTCGTGTGCCGTTCCGTGTGAGATGCAGGGTTAATCTGCAATACGCCTTAAGCGACTCAGCAGGCGTGCAGGCATCGACGCAGCGTCAACGACGACGACGTGACGTCGACCAGACCTCAACGACGTTAGGTGTCGCGCGTCAACGGAACGCTTGTGTAACACATGCCATAGAAACCTCTTAGGCGGTCATGTCCTGAACCGGGAATTCGTTCTGAGGCGTTCATGGTCTGAAGCGGGTTGTAGAACTAAATGTTTTAAAGGCCTAGGCCTTCAGACAAAAGGAACAGAAGCAGGCCAGTGAGATCAGACCAGATGAAATATTTCAAGATGCATACAAATTTCAGAATAACTGATACAAAACACCGGGTTTTCTATTTAGACATGTTAGTTTTTAAACTGACTTCAACTTTGATATTTCAATGTCAAATGCAGTTGTATATGCAGAGCTTCAGAGGCGGCCTAGATCATAAAAAGGTTTATTATATTAATTCATCAGTTTATTAGCTGCTGCTTTTTCTTCTTCATTCGTCAAGCTATTTTGAAGATAGTTGGGATTCCAACTCAAAGAAAATATTAGAGGGTCGGGGTATATTCGTAAACTTTTTTTTATATCTGACCAATTTGAATCTAGCTGAAAAAATTAAAATTAAATTTACTTAATCTTTCTATGTGATAATAAAATATCTTTTTATTTCTGACTCAACCATTTTATTACTTAACTTATGGTTTAATGTTAAAACATACTGCAATTCGTTGTTCCTGCCTGCATACTCATAATTTATTATAGGCTATTCATTATTGGAGTATATTCTCAATCATTAAATTAACTGACAAACTAAACTTAAATCTTCTTGCAGAAATTTCACATTCCTAATAATTAATTATAAAAATACAACTTATTTCCAGTTGGACCCATAATGGCAAGGATCTAGAGGCGGTTACCTCTTCCACTGTTCCTAGCCATCTGTTTCATTTCCCAGCTGACCAACTGGAGCCTTCAATAAGGTAATAATGATTTTAAAGTTTGTTTATTTATTTATTTCATTCGTCATTTGTTTTTTTCCTGTACCTATGTAAAATATAACTGATCTCACACAAAATATATTTTTGGTAATATTGTGGATTAATCAAATTTAAATTATTTCTCATGGGAATATTTTATGACAAAAAAAAGTTTTTATTACGATATCTCTTTATAATTTAAAATACAAATATCAAATGACATAATAAATACATAATATTTACATACAAGCATATTCACTGATTAATGTACATGACATCATACACAATTGCTCCATGTTAATAATCCATCACTGTCAATATTCCTTAACATTACAAGACTGGTCACAAAACATCACTTTGTTACGTTACATTTCATTTAACGCCAAAAGCAATCCAAATCCACAATGACGAGATGCAAGTGCACAAATAAATAAAATACATTTTACATACATACAACTTAGATTATACAATATTTTAATATTGTAATTTACATTATATTAATTTTCTTTAATAGTTGCTTACTTTTTGGGTTTTTTTTCATTGAATGTTGTTTTCTAATTAACAATACTCAGTTTAAATGGATTTCAAAGAATCTCCAAAATTTGAGTTGAAACACATGGTACACACATAACTGTGTTAGCACTATGAAGGACAACTTGTGCTATTTTTACAAACATCCATTAACTTGCTAATAATATTTATTAATCAAAAAGCTCAAACATGTCTGCGATACATGACAATATAATATTTGAGTATTTGATCTTTAGCTTCTAAATACAAAATCATGTGATGAAACGTATTTGAGCCATTGATTCTGTGCCAACAGATTCATTGTAGCATGGATATTTATACAAAATTTTCTACAAGTATTTTACATAAACATTGTATTTTACTGCAACCTTTCAGGTTTTGTACTGTCAGGAACATTAACTCCGTGCCATATAAAATCACTTTTCTCTGAATTACAATTCACTGCCATGATTTACTAACAAGGCAGTGATTATTGCAAATAGCAAATCCATTGCAATACAAATGAAGCACTAAATCAACCACACTTAATCATTTCACAAAACAATAATCTTAAAAAGTATATATACAATGTATTTTTTATTTGATCTAATATTAACACGTTAACAGTTATTGGGTACTATTTCAAAACTTCGGTTCTTTAATCCCTCTGAGAAGAAACAACCACTGTATTGTTAAGTCTTAATCCCAATATTTAATAAGCCCATCCCAGCCAGCAGTGACCACTTTGCTAGCTTCATGTGGATGCCATAAAACTCCAATGCACACTTTATCATGGGCCTTCCATTTCTTATACAGTTTTGTGGTTTTCCAATCCCATATGTAACACTTGCCATCAGCATCACCAGATATTAGATAGCTGCAAAAGGGGGAAAAAATGTTATACTCAAAGACATCACACTCATTACACATAAAAGTGGTTAGTTTCTGACTTACCTCATATCTGGTGAAAAATCTAATGTGCACGCATAACCAGCAACCATATGACTACTGAAGGTTTTCTTCCGATTTAATTTGAATCTATTTAGGGCAGAGAATATAACAATTTTATTATCCATACTTTGACATGCCAACCATTTTTGATTTGGAGAAAGAGTAACAGCAGGCATGGAATGCATTGTCGGATCCGCAATATACTTCATATCCACAGGAATATCCCTAAAACAAAAAAAGAAAATGCATGAATGATATTCATCTGGAACAAACTTTAAAGAACGACATTACCAACAGGAATGCTCTAGAGTTATATTGATAATCATTTCTTATTTTCCTGCTTTTATGTTCCAAATTTTTTAATTGAGATTTATTTACGGAATTTTTTGTGAATGTAACTTGCTACTTTATCATGAAAATTTAATCAAAGTTGTAGCCAAGTTACATTTGAAATTTTTCTTGAAACTACAAATTGGATGCTCTCATATAATTTACAAATAATAATCATCAAATACTGAATTTTCAGGTGGTCATTGACTTATTAAATTCTTACACAAAAGTAGGAGATAGAATTGTGTAATTCCCCTCACACCTAAATATCAATCAGTATTGCTCTACTTTACACATTTTATTTCAAAATAATTTTTTATGTGATATTTAAAATGCAATAATTTTCAGTTAAGATTTCATGCAATATGCCTAAGTGACCTTCTTGAAATTGAATTGAATTAATGCCTTATTTTACGTGGCGTGACTCGGGCCATCAGGCCTGCTCTTCCATCTGACCACGCTTCTTGAATTTAAAAGTATGTCATTATGATTTGCAATTAAGTGATAACACCACTCTATTCAATGCTAAACTAGAAATCTTTTCATCAAAAAATACATATTTGATATTTCATTCTATATATACTCCATAAAATATGGACGAATGCTTTTTCCATTGCAGTTATCTATTCATATAACTCATTCTACTGCAACAACAGAATGAGTGAACATGTCAAACATGCTTCAAAATCTTTCTGAATGTGTGATTTCCATGAGTTGCTGGATGTAAACACTGCAATTTAGATTATGCTGACCAGTGTGATGGGGCAGTACAGCAAAATGTTTGTTTTCCACAAAATAAAATATTAGCAATTATTAGGGTCCTTGGGCTTCCCCTCCATTGGTAAAATTGAATGTGTCTTAATGCAATTTATATGATGAATGTTGAGAATTGGACATTTGGGGCTTACTTAAGAAATACATACTTTTTGTAATAAAATAGTAAGAAGGGGGAGGGGTCAAAAAAAGCATTTTTTGTCAATGAATTCATTGAATGTCATGTCAGAAATTTCATTAAATCAAATCTACTTAATTTACTGGTGCAAATACATTTTCTATTACAAGGGAGTGAAACTTTCTAGTTTTCAAATATTGCCAACCCAACCACACTTGTTGGAACCTTCATTCATAATTACTTTGTAGTTTCTTTTACATAAGGAGTGAGGATTCTAGAGTGCAAGAAAACATGCACAGATTCTCCTTCTTTACTTCCCCTCTTCTGTTATGTTCAATTTTTACTGATTTAGAGGACACACAAATAAATAAATGGCCCTAAGAGAAAAAGAAACTACTTACCATTCCCAAACTCTCAGACTTTTATCATCAGAAGTAGTAACAAATCTTCTGTTTTCATCAACGAATGTAATTGTATTAACTGCTCCAAGATGCCTGTCATATTCTTGAACGATTTCACCAGAACGAGCATCCCACTGTAATAAAAGGAAATGGAAGTTTAACTTGTTTTCACATTTTCATATTCTTTTTATAAATTGATGAAACAATCAGATATTATAATAAGCAAATATTTTTGAAAGGCTAAACAAATAGCTATATAAACCAGTTGTTTATCTGTCCAATCATCTACGTGGTGACATTTTTATTACGGTAAATCTATCGTGTACAAATTTTATTGAAGACCATGTGGCTCCAAATGTTTTTTGTTTTCAGTCACCTGTCTGAGAAAAAATTTCTCCACAGCTGTGAAAATCAAAATTTTTTTAAAAGTAATTCTTTAAATGTAATTTTCAATGTTCGGACAATATGCACTATCAATTTGATACCCCACACATTCTCTCATTGAGCTGAAATGATACAATTTTCTTAGAACATTCTAGTTTAACATAGTTAACAATTCTCAAAAACAAATTTATTACATTTATGATTAGACAATTCTTTTCATTTCTCATTAATAACTTATTATCCTTAATTCCAGATAATAAAACAGTATCATGAAAATTATTTTATACATCCATTTTCCCCAATTTTCTTCACAACACTTCAAATAAAGGTTTTGAGAAGTATTTTAAATACTTACACATATAATTTTTTTATCTGAAGTGCCAGCTACAAACAGGTGTTGCTTATCAGCATCTGGATTAAACTTTGCACAGTAAGGAATTTTTCGACTGGTGAAACGTGATATACACTGTCCTGATTCAGTATCCCATAGCTTGATGTACCTGTCATAAGCTGTAAAGAATTTCAAATATAAACATAACATAAACAAAAAATATAACATAAATAAATATAGCATAACAAAAATTCCTTACACACAAATGTACAATGAACCTGTACTAAATTTGAGTTATTTAGAACTGATTTGCTTTTCCATCAACAAAACAACATAGACTTACCAGCTGAAAGAAACTGGGTCCCATCATTATTAAAACTGATATCTCTAACTGCTTGTCGATGACCATAATATGTACGAATGCATCGTCTTTCATTGTACACTTCCCATAACTGAAAGGCAATAGCATCAATTAAAGAATAATTTTCATAACTGAAGTTATGCATTAGTATACGTATGTGAAAATAGCCAAGTACCTTTACTCTACAATCCATGCTACATGAAAGTAATAAATGTGCTGATTTTGGAAACCAGCGAATCGCAGAAATGCCTTTTGTGTGACCTTGCCAAGTATGAATTTGAACTTTTGGCAGGTAACAGCGAGCTGGTGGCGAGTCTGATTTAAGATTAACCCCAACATCTTGAGGAGGATGAAGAAACGATCGTCCTTGGTAATCCACTGGGTCTTTGACTGAAAATAATTAAATAAATATAATTTCTTAGAGAATTCTGCAGATCCACTGATTACGGGCATAGCATGATGTTCGCTTGTTCTAAGACAACCCTTTCCACTCAATGTTACAGACTAAACAAAAATCAAAAGGTTGACATGGATCATAAGAATGGAGATGCATGAAGCAAACAAAGTTAGGATATGATGGATTTATGCATATTTATTGGACATAGAGGGTATTGAATTGTGTGCTGTCTTCACCACAGCCTGGAATAAATCCCATTATAGCCTCTGACTAGTCTTCCTCCATTAACTCGATCAAGTACATTGCCATGCCCTTACAGCCTCTACGCCCAATACCCTTTTGAGTCAGTCTTCTGCAAAAGGAACACCAGCTGGATTTGTGTGGACTCCACTTACACAATCCACAAAGAGAATAGAGTAATTCACTGCCCTGATGACATTTGATGAAAACAGTACAAAAGTATTGGGCCCAGCAAGTTGCGCAATTAAAAGAAGTGTTTAGCATTTCAGTGGTGTTGAACAACCACTTCCTTCAGGAATAATTTGCCATTTGAGCAGTGAATCTCATCACAGAGAAAGGGCACTGCATTTCCATCAGAACAAGGTTTTGATTAATCATCCAGCCAGCAGCAGTCTCTTCCACTGAGACAATTGCCGATACTAGCATTAAGCTGAACATCGGCATATTCAAATCTCAAACACGCACATAACACACGTATGTAAAACCAGAAAAAGAAAATGTGATTTGCACATTTGACATGGTGAAACAATGAGTGAATTCTAGTTGGTATCCTATGTCTTATGCAAGGGTAATTTATGAACAAGTAAATGCTGCACTCTACTCATAATCAGATTATTGTAATACCCATAACTTAACCTTGAAAAAAGAAATAAAACATTTTAAGACTCTTTTCAAAAATATTCTTACTATGTAAAACAGTTTTTTCTTCCAATGGTTTGTCGTCCGTTTGCTTGCCACGTTTTTGTCTTTTTGCTAATATTTCTTCCAACTCAACAGCTTCCTCCTAAAGGGAAAAGAATAATTAATAGCACAAGTGTACCACATTTATTATGTTCACATTATAATCTCCAACATGAAATTTCATTTTTAATGCAAACAATACTGGCAATAAATACATCACATTATGCTGAGATTTATTACAGTTCTAATTATGATCACTACACCCACTTCCTCCAACACATTCCCACAAGATACCCTGATTAACTAGATCAACTAAAAACAAAGAGTTAAACAGTTTCCTCAATACAAAAACAATTTCTAGTTGTTTGATAGTCAAGAATGATTAGTAATATGAAAACAACAAAACAAAATATTATTTAAAAACTTACATCACTGGGTTTCATAACCCGCTTTTCATCAATAAACCCTCCCCAGGGGCCAAGGAAACCTTGAATATCTGCTGGATCATCATTCTTGTTTCTTTTTCTTCTATCTGATGGTCTTTCTTTTGTACTTTCAAATACAGTTTTTCCATCTGCTTCTTTTGCTGCTTCTGTAGCCCCAATGATGGTTTTTCCCTCCAGGGCAGAACCATCAACAGTGGGATCAAGAGCATAACCTTAAAAACAAATTTAGAACACAAATTATTTCATTTTATTTCTACATATCAGACATAAAAACTACTTCTGTAGATATATCAATTTACCAAAACTGGTAAATGTCCTTCGCTGATTTTCAAATTGGAAATCGCTAATGTAGGCTTGTTCTACATATCCAGATAACATGTTTTTGTGAGCTTTTTGCTGCTGAGTCTGAAACGGATTTTCTGGACCAACCTCTGGAGCAAATAGCTCCTCGAATTTGGGATTATACATAACTTCTTTCGATGTTGAATCTATGTGACGCATAGTATCTACAGCACCCTAGTTTGATAAGAAAAAAATAAAGGAACAAAACAATGCCTCAAATTGCACAAACTAAAAATATATTAAGAACGAATATTAAAAGCCTACCAGAGGAACCACGCTAGGAGCTGCACAAACTTGCATCTTCGATTGTAAGGACACTATTGAAGAATTTCCTTCAATAGGTTTCAAATGAGAGGTTAAGTCTTCTTGTTCCGATTCTTCTCCACTACTGCTGCCGTACTGCTGTAATTGAAGCATTGTGCTGGAATACCTATGTGTCTAATGTTTTTATAAAAATCTAATACCCTAATCATTTACAAATTCCAATCTGTTTACAACCATTAATGTGTTGGAAGTAGAAACAAGTAAGATGTGTGTAAAATAGTTGGGCTGTACGACCTGTACACGGTTTGCTGTACACTCCGTTTAAAATGTATGGCGAATTGACTTCTAATCAGCTGCGACACGGTTATCCAATCAGAAGCTTCAATATCAAAACTTCAGTTGTAACAAAGCTTTTCATTGGATTACTGTGATTTCATTAATGGCTGTCAACTTTCCGTACATTTTAATCAGAGTATACGACTGTACACAAGTCAAAGACCATCAAGGACTGTCACATATATTGGAATTTCGTTTTAACCTGTCAGAAGAAGAATTCGTCCTGTAAGGTGCCTAAGCAGGCTGAAATTCTAACTTAGAATAAAGAGAACGCATCTGTACTATGTTTGGTGTATTAATGGTTTTGTAAAAGTTAATTCAAGAAATTTTGTAAACATTTGCTGCGTAAAATATTGTAAAGAAGTTTGTTTTCTTTCTTAACGTAATGTTTGAGCACAGGAGCAGCATGGCTCATAACAATTGATAGCAACTTTGTAACAGCTTTGTAAATGTGAGTTGTCCACTGTGAGGGTGTTTTGAGAAGTGACACAGACGTGACCGTAGAAAGAAAATGGAAAATAATAAATTAACTAAAATTCACAATAACGAGGACAGTGCGGGAGATAGTGATGAAGATGTTGGAGAAGAAATCATGGAAGAAAGCGAAAATGGAGTGGATGTAAAATCGTCGCCTTTACTTGAGAAGAATCGTAATCAAGCTAATAATGTTGAACTTTCTCGTTCTTCATCTAGTGTTTCTCTTATTAGTAGTTCACAAGCAGACGACGCAATAAGAAGTAATTGCCAACCTGAAGAAGTGGCAAAGAGTGACGAATCAGAAGTTCCTCTCGAGGAAGTAGAGAAAGTCATAAAAAGAAACTTACCCTCGGTGAACGTTCCTGAGAAAATTATTTTGTGTCTGGACATATCTCAAGATCCCGATTTTAATCCTTTCAAGCTTGGTGATGGCTCTAAGCATACACCGTTAAGTATGGCCAAACGGGTTGCAGAGATCTTTATTAAAAGTAAGAACATTATCAATCCAAAACATGAATTTGCTTTGATTATCATGGAAAGTGATACTATCTTATGGCTTCGTGACTTCACTTCAGAACCATGTGACATTATATCAGTTATAGAAGACATAAATGAAGCCCCTCAATCGGACACTTTTGACTTAACCTCTCTGTTTGATGTAATTAAGAGTCATGTTAAACTGCCTGTAGTGGATGATCCAATTCTTGTTCCACCTCCATATGTTGTAAGAACTATTTTGCTCTACAGTAGGTCATACTGCTTACCAGAGTTCAAGCTAGGCAGAGATACATTTGAATATCTCTTGTCTTCTCAGTATTTTACGCTGGATATTTTGTACATTCATGAAGAGCCATCAGAAAAAAATAAATGTGAAGAGATATTCAAAGTATTGGATGCTTTAGACGAGAAAGGTCTTTCATATATATTTGACGTTCCTCGGAACGCAACTAAACTGCATCATGATATGGCAAAGTTACTTGCTCATCCTCTACAAAGACCTTTGCAAAAGTTTGCTCGATATAAACTTGAACTGCCACAAGAGAGCCAATAAAGACTTTGTTGACAATTATATTATAATTTCTTTTTTCATTACATATATTTAATTAAATGTATTTCACAAATACTGCAGATATTTACTGTTCCTTTCCATTCCCTTTTGTAATAAATATTCTTCAGTTATACAAAGCAATCAACCTCCAAAAACTCCACCATGGGTGATTTTCAGTTATTAACAAAATATCCTAACAATGTTCTTTATTCAAGTACCAATTTTTTAATTTGTAAAAAAGACAGCAAAGTACCCACAAATGTGTGTTGCATCCATGCATTTGGAACACAAATATATTTAGCACCATTTGCAATAATAAAAATAAATATTATAAAAGCGTGATGTGGAAAATTAACAGAACAAGAGATATTAGTGCTATAATTTCTACTGCATTGTTTCTATGTTGAAAACTGTTCAGATCTGGCTTTCCTAAGTAATGTATATTTTAAACCCCTCCACTTATGAAGTTGAAGCCTTGCCTTGCAATGTGTAATTGTAAAAATGCTAATAATAATGCAGGAAAAAGAAATGAAAACTGAGGTATAGAAATCATTATTTTAGATAAAGATAATCTAGATTAAATTGAAAATGTTACCATATTATAATTGTAATAGATACCTAGTTGTATTGATTTCTTACACAAATGTTGCAATTCCAAACAACCAGATTTTTCTAGTTTTCAAAGAGAAAAATCTGGCCTCCAAATTGCTTTGAAATGTCTGAGTGAATGAATGTTCTGTATCATTTAAGTTTACTGTTACTTAGTGATTACCCCAATATCAATCAGCGTCAAATTCAACATACTTGAGACCCCAGACTTATTACCTCTGTTTTTTCTCGCTAGATAATAGCTCATGAGATAAATTATTAATGACTATTGACTGAAAACACTTTCATCTGATAGCATGTTTAGTCTTAGAGTGCTGTTAATTTATTAAAATCACAGCATTTGATGTGCCAGGTTTTGTTTCATGATAGGATTGTTTATAAAAGAATTGACTTGATTTACTGCAGCCAAATAAACCTTGGAGATTTTACCTAATGAACAAATAATTTTTGGGAACCATCGAAGAAACTTGAAGTGCTAAAACAACTTGAATAAGGAATAAATATGTAACAAAGGTTCGTATTTGCAAAGTTATGCATTTATAGGATTAAGGAATATCTTAAACTTAATTTCTACTGCTTGGAATGCCTTTAACTTGTGTGTTTTAACGTGTATTTTTTGCAATGAAGAGAAATGGCAAGTTTCTTCCCTTAAACTTAAATCATCACTTAAGGTAAACATTCAATTGTTGTTACTTAAGAAAAGACTAGACCATTTCGCTGAAGAAGAAGAGTTTTGTGTGTGGAGAGAGTCTTCTTTGATAATTCTATGCGCTGTATGTACTTCAAAGGCTTAAATGAAGATCATTTCAATAGCTAGTACCTAAGAATCGTATTCTACTAATATTGTTCTACTAAATTGTCACTGATTTTCATGTGATTATTTTGACTTGCTGATGATTTCTGTAGTATTACGATACAGAGTACATTAATCAAAGCCGCCAAAAATGATTATGCAAGAGCATGCTTGTGTTTATACTTTCTAGTGAAATTTTATTAACAGTAAAGAAGCTGTTCTTCAAGAGTTTGATGAATATTTGCCTTAAATAGTGTTTGAACAATTATGATTGGAATAAATAGGTTGTTGATCCTCCATAATGATGTGGTTTTGAATTTGATATTCCTTAAAACATCGAGCAAATGATAAGATGGTCCCATACTTTGCTTCTGCATACTAATTGTGTAGTTTTGCTCTCCCTAATGTCACATGGGTGAAAACTAATGTGGTATCATTGACATTTTATAAATTCAGAGAAATCTGTTTATTTAAGTCAATATTACTGTAAAGTCATGTTGCTTTGTTTCATCATTAAAATCACGCATTTCAATTGTTTATTAAAACAATGAAAATACATTGCCATTGAAATATAGCCTAAAATTAACACGTTTTTCTCAGAATTTATGAAATGTCACTTGTACTGTCCTGGTTTTCACCCATTCATATAATGTTTACTGTTTTGATGACAAATAAATAAATTGAAAATAATAATATTTCACTTTCATTAGTTTGTTTGGTGCTTGAATAATATATTGAATAATTATAATAATTTGAATCAAAATTCAAATAACAGAAAATTGAAAATTAATTATTTACAAAACATTTGCTTGATGTGCATGCAAGTTTCAGTAGATCATGTGAGTGGACGCATTTATTTGTATTTACCTACTCTAACCAGTGTGCTCTGACACAAATAGAACTACCTGCATTTTTTCTGAACAATTTGAATATTTATTGATGTATTGGTGTACAGTTAAGAAGTTTGTATTACCTCAATCATTGATTTGAGCAATGTTAGGTGAATCCATAAAATAGTGAAATTTTGAAAGAACTTATTCACATAGGATTTATTCAGCTCCTCTAGCTCATGCAATACGTTATCAAATAAAGCAACATGATTACATTTTTATCAGATTCATTTCTTTTGCATCAATAAGAATAATGTATTATTATTATAATAATAATGATGATGATGATGATACAAGAAACAACAACAATAATACTTATAACAGTTAACTAATTAGACTCATGTGGAAATTCTTCTTTTTAAAAATCATTGTTTTAAAAGTGAAAATAGTATTCTTTTGAAACACAGCTAATCATTTCTGATAATTTATGCTGTGAATGACAGCTAGACCTAATGTCCAAAAATATATTAGAACAAAAAAAGGTTGAATTGTGTAAATAAGAGCATAAGAAATATAGCTAAAGTCATTTTGGGGAATGAAAACCTAGTTTTATAGGACTAAAACAAATTGTGTGTGTGTATATTTTAATTCCTTGAAATTTCTAACCATCAGTTACCAGTTATCATGGTTATTCCATTAAATAGATGTGAAGAAATAATTTTCAAATTTGATTTTTCTTTTCTTAGTCATCTTAAAGTAACTGTTAAATAATTAAAACAAATTCTAATTAATGGGTAGTACCGATTGGGCTTAAAGTTACACGTTCATCAAAATAATGCATTGGCATTTATAGCTGATTCTTTAGTACTATGGTTTATAATAATGCTCATTAGGTCTGTCTCTTCAATTTTAGTTTCAGTTTTTCTATTGTGAAAAAACCTAAATTATTTACCTTCTGACCTGTTGTTATAAATTTTTATTTTGATGGTAAAGCATTTCTTACCGAAGAGTAGAAAGAAAATGTAAAAGGAGGTGGAAGGTGAGCTACATAATGATTTTTTATTTTATTTGTTGTTGTTAATCGTAGGTAGTTCTCGTTTAGTATTTATGAGTCTTTTCAGTGTATTTCTGTTAATGAGCAAATTGGTCTTTTTTAATTTTATTAAGTATTTTGGAGGGGAAAGCCTATTTTGAGCATAGTGAATAAGTTGATATATCCCTTTTTTCTTTAATGATAAACATATCTTTAGATTCTCCTAATCATTTGTGTAGAATGAGATAAGATTAATTATTTTGGGCTGCTGAATAATGGGCATGTGTATATATAATTAAGACAATGTAAATTTCATAGTCATAACTGTAAGAAGAGCAGTGCTGAAGCTAGGCATGAGCTGACCAGGATACTGCCTGGGGCACAATGATGGGATTTATGGGGAAAAAGTAGTAAAAAATTGTAAAAGAAATTAGAACTCCGGAAAATTCTTAAACTTTCCAAACTAGATTGAAGTTTCTGAAATTTTTCATTAAGCTAATTTGTAGAGAATGAGTAGTATAATTTTCAGGTTGGTGGGTATTTTAGTTCTTTTTTTATTGTAAGTAATTTGTTTTTATAAAAGTTTTAATTTTTCATTGTTTAAGGAAGGTTCGCAGTGAGAAGAAAGGATAAATAAGGGGACAAGTCACAAAATAATGAATTGTATTTTTTTATTTAGTGTCATTTACTAAAAATAATACAAAAACTTTGTGTTTTTGCTATATCACAGTTAACCATGGAGCAGAACAGTTTCTCCAATAACATCTGTGGTACAATTTAAAAAAGCCAGCAAATTATGAAAGGTGAGAGAGTGACAGTTACCTTCATTTGTATGGATCAGAAGGCAAAACCAATCATAGAAAGTTTGAAAAACTCCGATAAAAGAAAGGAAACACTCTGATCATTACTTTGTAAAACATGAAATTAAAAAAACACGATTGACAGACACATTTAATAACTCATGTGCAGTTTGTTAACAACCATTTTATAGAATTAATTAGCTATGCAGGAAGTGATCAATCTTCTCTGTGGGTAGTGTTAATAATGGAAGACCATACATGCATTAGGTATACTAATGCTGCCAAAAACAAATTGCTGCATACCAAAAATGAGTATTGCTACAATATTGTTAGTATCACTAATGCAAATTATACTCATTATGTGAAAGTTCTTACCAAACTGTCTTAATGGGATTAATATATTTTGAAATATTTGCTGGCTTTCAAAAATGACTTGCAAAAATAACTTTCTTGTGTACCAGAAAGTTGTTATAAAATGAAATAGAAATTTTTGAATTCCTTTTCCAAGATAGTTCATAAATTATTAATAAATAAATTGCTACAGATATCACTAGCTCCCTGATGATCCAGGTGAATGAAGATCACTATCAGTTCTTTTGGTACATGTAGCTGATTTTTTGTGACTCAGCATTTTATCCTTGCGACTGAAACCTTTACCGCAGGATGAACAAACATATGGTCTTTCACCAGAATGTATTTTTCGATGTCGTAACAAATTACTTGCATGACTGAATTGTCTATCACATTGTGGGCATTTGTAGGGCTTTTCTCCAGTGTGTATTCTTCTGTGCTTATTAAGGTCCCCCGTATGGGTGAAGGTTTTTCCACAGAAGTTACATGGAATTTCTTTCTTTGTACTTGTTGAAGGTCCTGAGATTTCTTCATTTGGTGATGCACTAGATGTACTAGGAGCACTAATGACTGAAGTAGGAGGAAGTAGTGGTTCACTAGTAAAGTCTGCAAAAGGAAGTGGTGGTGATGGTTGCACATTTAAATACGTTGGAGCAGCACTTTCTGTACTTATGTAACTCATAGGTGTCGTGGGATTGTCTAAATTAGTAAGGCTACTTTCTGCTTGTTGCTGGCTACTAACATCAGCAAGTAATCGTAATTCTCCATACTGAGCATGTGTACATGTGTCACAAACACATCGTGGAGGTTGAGTCACTTGTTGAGGAGGTTGCACAATGTTCTGAGATGCTGCGTTCGCCTCCATATGACGCCGCATCTTCCTTCGCTTAGGGTGTTCAAAAATATCTTCCTCCATCTTGATTGGCATCAAAGGCTTATGCTCACCATGCATTACACCCTGTAATGAGAGAAAAGTACATCTAAGTCATGCAGCATTTCCATGTTTTGATTATTTTTTAACAAAAAAATCCTCTAAGTTACCTTTAAAGCAGAATACAAATACTTGTTTAAAAATGGAAGTTACATTAGCATGAAAATATTTTAGAGGCAATTAACATTAAAACCACCAATGATTCTGCTGCATATAAAATAATGCCACATAATTCTTCAACTTTTTTATTAAATTTATTTTTATAAAGCCATTAGTGAGATACAGCAGGAGGTTAATTATTCAAATACATGTGTACGTGTGCAATTCTTTTAGAATATTAGTATAAAAGAAGTGTGCAGATGATATTTCTTTTTTGATTGAGAATGGATTCATCCACATTATCAATTAAATCCCTCTGATCAAGAACTGAGCCTTACCTGAAAGTTGTTACTCTTGTTTGATAAATCTATCAGACCACTTTGAAAACTCTTCAGTTCGTGCTCTCCTTTCCTATGCAGTTCAAAAAGTTGATAGCATGCTTCAAGTCTCCTAAGACACTCCAAACATATAGCCGTCGGGAGGTGATCATTTCTTAACACCTGCAAATAAAAAAACAATGCATTGTAAAACTATTGAATATATAAAATTACATTTGTTAATAATGGGGCAACATTGACGCGACTGTCGCTAGTTGGTCAATTCGGTGTGGTTTGCTATTTATCACACTGAATTAGACGCGTAGCATGCAAGTCATTTTGAATTTCGCGCCACGTCTCAAGTCAATACGAAACATGAAATCGAGTCTCAAATACTTACTGTCATTTGCAAACAAACTTTCAGTTTTAAGTATAACTGTAAATATACTCCATCTTCGCTGAACACTGACACTAATTCCTCGTTTCTTTGAGCACAAATTCTGCAGTAGCCTATCATCCCGCTTGCCATGTCCTAGAACAAATGAATGACTCCGATGTGTGCCCGTATCTTTAATCGAAAGTAAAAGACCCATTGCCAACTTGAATACCCCAGGAAATAATAGAAAGTACAGGTTACAAACAAACAAGAAAGCTATTATAAAGTCACATCACTAGCACTTTGTTTCAAGACCGATATTAGCAAAATATTCAAGAAGGAAGCACGAATGCCAAAATGAAACAGAAAGAGAAGTGTAGTTTAAATGTTAACGTTGGTCAAATCATCGCGTGGTATTCCCCCGCTGGGAGTCCCCCTGGATTTCCCTCAGTAGACCTCGCGTTCGAGAGTGGGTTCGAGTTGTTTTAATATTTGCGCTGAGCTGGCACAGAGACACGCAGAGAGAAGTCGAAAAACCTTAGCTTTAAAAACGAATGTGGATGAGAGTGAAAACTTTCGGACTAGTTAACTACGTGGTGCATTTCAAAACGTGAGGTTGATAGGATCCAGTCTGCGTGATAAATACCTTAGTAAACTCTAGGGCAAACATTATTTTAAATTTACAAAAAAGAACAACAACAAAAAACAAATGGATAAAATGGGATGAGATCGTCGAAGCCAGAAGACGTATCACCGTGAAATTATGTTAATTATTGGGTTTTAATGCTAATACGGCGTACATTAATGATTAGTTTTTAGTAAAACATACCATCTACGAAAGTGTCTTTTGTGAATATTAACTTAAGAGTAGGGTAGGTAATGGAAATTACTTTTACATTATTAAAGTAATTATTATAAGATCTAATAAAGATCAAGGAATGCACACGTACATTCATTCCTGAATCACAACCTCGCAATACCGCGAATTTCACAGCAAAGTTTGCTCTCTTTTGCCTCACATTCCCCCATAGTTATCGCGTTCCTCCGCAAAGAGCTGTCTAGGAAGCTGACCCGCCAGCGAGAAATTCCAAGAACGCTTGCTTTTTTTTCTCTCTCTCTTTCTCCCCCTCGGTCTCAACGCACGGTCACAATTGGGCTTCGCATGCATCATACGCCGATTTCTGCGAACCGCCCGCGCGCTGGCTCCGCTCCCCGACCTGGCCACCCGCCCGCGGTCCCGCGCGTTCCCATCGCTGATGACGCCGATCGACCGAAAGGCGTCGCGCGCGGCGGCGAGTCACGCTTGGCGCGCGTCAGACGTCACGGAGCGCGAGCGCCTGACGTCATCACTCGCAGGGGATTCCTACAGCACGCTTTGCGGGACTCGTCAGGCGCCGGAGCACGAGGTCTGCCGGCGCGCCGACCGGGCCCAGACGCCTGGCGCGTTGCGTCTGCGTTGTGACGATCGCCAGTGTACGAACCTTTCGGTGCGAATGACGTACTATGATGATGCTCGAAATTCACACTCACGTGAAGTTTCTCGGATTGTGAAATGTTTCGTACTACTCGTAGTATAAGAAGACGGAACGCGGAAAGTAATACGTACATCACGACAAATCTTGGCATATTATTTAATGTGTAAATTATGTCATCAGAGTGGTAATTTATACCAAACAACTTTGTGGTTTAATATTTAATAAAAAATTCAATTATCAAACATCCTATTACAACTATAACTGCACATTCGTTGTTGGTTGTGTTTAAAATTACATGAACGCTAATTACTTCAAACGCGCCAAATTATTAAAAGTTTCAAACCGTAATTCAACAAGTTAAATATTTTGGCGTTTCATTAAATATTTTTGACTTTTCAAGAATCATTACGTGTCAATATTTCGTGCAACAAAATGGAAACAAATTGTGAAGAACCGATTACATTCTCATTTGCGTCTGTGTTTTCAAGCAATTTTGATTAATGAAAATATTCATTTAGAGCGTTTATAATTACTGTGCAATTATTTGTAGAACAAATATTTTTTCTCGAATGCACTTGTCGTTGCATTATCAATATGTTTATGTTGCTGCTACCTCGGACTTTTAAGAGTTTTATCCGAGCACAAGAACTATTCACCTAGTCAGCTGTCCATTAAATGTATTTCAAATTGTCAAATTGTTTTATCTCACACAAAGCATTAGAGGAACTTCTCTAATGCAATCAGCTCAGGAGCTCAGAAGAACGGGTGCATTTTAAACCTTTTTATCTCGTTCCCTCCTTTAGACCGGCACATGTGTCACTTCGCTCGGTACATCTACTCATGTCACTGTGACGTTTTAGAAGACACCAGAAACAAACATCGAAAACCACGCTCACTTCCTTTCAAGAATCATTTCGCCACTACACGCAAGTCGTCTATAGAGAAATCGTCAATAGCCAGTCACTATCCTATCGAAATCACTGAGAAGAACCACGTGTGAGTGCACTTACATGCCAAAGCCATCAGCAGAGAGAAACACGCGCACAGCGACAGCCACAAACACTCTTGACGTATCCACACAGTGTAAGCACGAGCGCGGTGGGCTGGGGCTGGGAGCTGGAGCACCTGCGGAGCGGACGCCGTTGCCGGCCGATTGAAACCTGCGGGCCGCGGCGGGCCTGCTATTATATATATGAAAGTGGAAGAAAACCGTGACGTCAACTCGGGAATTCCGGGGGAGGGCCGGCGCTGTAGTAAAAAAGTTCGCGAGTGTGAATGAAGCGGGTCTCCCCTCTCTCTAGCGTTGCCTTCCCCCACTCTACGCGCGGACCGCCGTCTGGGAGGCGCGGCCCTGCACGTGGCGGCGGCGGCGGCGGAGCGGGAGAAGCGCCCGAAGCGCCAGTCGCCAGTCGTCGCCGGCCGAGTAGGAGAGGAGGTTGGGCTAGCGTCGCTGCCGGTTGCAGCATCTCGCCGACGTGTGGCGTGGGTGTGCGCGCTTCCCGGCTTGGTGACGGATGAATCATAGCACCCGTCTCGGAAATGGTCACGCGTTTACGGAGAAGTAGGCTGATGCGATTCTAAATCGGCCGGCGGTGGTGTTTGCTTGTTTTGGGCTTGGTGTCCGAAGTTCCCCTGTCACATGACTGCATCCTTCAGGTGGCTCCATACATTCGGCACTCGCCGAGAAGCGAGCTAGTGCTCGCCCAATCCCGAACAGCTGATGTGTTCGGTGAATGTTCGCTCCCTTGGATGTGTCCTAAAGACCGACATGCCGTAGATAGGGCGAATACCGAAATGTTCGGCGCTAGCAAGCACCCCGTCCACACTTCTCGGAATTCGGCAAGCGGATGCTCGATATTCGCCGAATGCCGCCTTTACGTAGCGTACTGTGTCGCGAAATTGTGAAGAAAAAACTGTAGCACAATGAATCACCAGGTGCCGACCTTAGTGTGAAACGAATAAAACTTAATGGCATTATCTGTTGCTAAGATCCGTGGAAATATCGGTTTGGTGCCTCTCTATTAATTTTAGACCTTGTCAAAAGCATTGTGCAAAAATGGTAAATCTTGGAAAATCTTGCCGCATTTAGCTAGAACATACTCAGGCATTTACACGGAGTGGAGACTCAAAACCAGTGCTAAGTTTTCGTGAGCGCGTTCTTATATCGTGTAAAGACACACTAATTTAATGAATGGAGAGGAGCCCAGTAGTAATTTGGCGAATGCAGACGCCGTTCGTGACTGGACTTCCGCCCGCCTGTGTGCCCGCCTGTGTTTCGGTCTGTTGTTCTTCCTGTTCTATGGTTTCACTGTCTGTCGACCAGTGTATCGCTACCGGTACTCACAGCCAGTCATGCCCTGTCATGGTCATTGATTTGTCTTGTCACCACATACTTTTTAATAGAGCAGTAATTATACGTCAAAATCGTTTTGATAAACTAGCAGTTGGATTGGTATTCGCGTTTGTTGTATACTTAATTGTCGTTAGTATCACGTTAATTATCAATATGCCGCAGGAGCGGGTCCAGCCGATAAATTGGGGGGTCGGGGGCATCGTAGATTTTTGTTAAAAAAAATAAACATATATGTTATTATATGTATATTATTTATGTACTGTATATATGATACTATACAGTATTATTGTTTAAATAATTGCATAATTCGAATATAAATGAATATTTATATCAATTTTGCCAAATAATAAAAGGTAAACGAAAACTCTTCACCTTTTGGAGGAGAGGTGCCTGGCCCCATTCCCCCCCCCCCTTAATTCGCCAATGATATGTCGTTAGTATTACCAATATCGATTGTTTTAGAATCATATGTTTAAACTTACTTGTCTCTTCAACTCACAGGTGTGCAGCAATAAGTAATGAGAATTGATCACCATATCGTATGAGATGCTTTTCTCTCACCATCTTTAATGTCACAAAAACTAGATGATAAAGTCAAGTGTGCAGATGCACTAATGCATTAATGAATGTGCATTTTCTTTTCCCAGAAGATTCGAACTTACTGTTTTCCCAGCAGTAAACAAATAAATCCGCAGTAAACAAATTGATCCAGGGTATCAGGAAATTAATTTAATGAGAGTATCACTGTTATAAAATATTTTTCTGAAAATTAGAACCAATAGAAAGAAAGGAAAAAAATAACTTTTGTTCAGATGCTTTTCTTAAAACCAACCCAATTATACGAAAATAATTTTAGTAAAAATTCACTTCCCCAAAACGTCACGCTCTACAAAATTGTCAGGCAGCAAAAGGGAATGCACCTGCTCCATCTAAATGCCGCGAATTCTAGAGGACGGTTGCTGTGGTCGGATGGTTTTCGTGGATTCCACGGATGCACTTCAGGTGGACGCCGAATGAGAGCTATGCCTTAAAACCGACAGAGGCGGCGCACAATTTTCCCTTCCGCAACTTGTGGCCACTCACATCAGACGAGAGAGAGAGGTTCAATGCCCAACTCCTTAGGCTGAAGGCTTGCGAAACCGAGGGTCGAAATGGGTTGGGTTGAGGTGCTATCAGAGAGAGAGAGAGAGAGAGAGAGAGAGAGAGAGAGAGATGTGAATATACATGTATATATAACGTATGTAATATATATATAATATATATATATTATATATATATATTATATATATATATATATATATATATATATATATATATAGATGTGTGTGTATGTATGTACGTATATATAACGTATGTAATCATATAAACACACACAATCAATATATGGATTAATATCAATTAATCAAAGCATATTGATTCCCGTATTCCCAATTTATACTATCATTTCGGTTGGTTAGTGTTTGGCATGATGGAGGGTCTGCATTCGTTGAGGGGCTTCCTTTAATAGCGGCCGCGAGAGCCGGGCGCGTGTGCGTGACTCAAGGGCTGGTGTTGGCCGCAGGGTCCCGTGGGGAATGCTGACGCGCGAGACGCTACGCGTCGCCCACAGCCGCCCCGACGGCCCTTCCGCGGTCATGTCGTTTTCGTTCACCCTGCCTCTCCCTCGCCTCGCTCGCTCGCCCTCAGCCCTGCGCCTGCCGTGCCCTCCCTGCGCCTCGCTCTTGCCCTCGCCTCTGCCTCGCCTCACCTAACCTCAACCCTCGCCTTCGCCGCCGCTCAAGTCGCACCGTCCCCGTCGCCGCTGCACGCGAATCGCCTGCCGCCGTCAGCGATGCGCACCCACACAATACTGTGACGCCGTCGCCTCAGCTAGGATTGACTACTTGCTCTCGCGCTACGTCGCACACAGAGCCGCACCTCCATAGCTTACTCCTGCGCACTACACCACACTACCATCACGCCGGCGCCGCGCGCCGAGCTGGAATCTGACAGCGGCCTCTCCTCTCGCGCGGCGGCGGAGCATGCGTCGCGTCGCTGGCCGCCGCGCTTCGCCCGGCTTCGCGTAGCGCTTCGCCGCGCGGTATTCCTCAGCGCCGAAGGCAGGGGCAGGCGCGCCCCCCGCAGCCCCATTACGCTGCCCCATCCCGTCCCGTGCCGTCCCGACGCGACAAGCCGAGCAGACCCGAGCTGATCTGCGCGATGCCGAGCCGCGTCCTGCCTGAGCACGATGTGGGCCGAGCGTCACCCCTTCATAGAGTTGATGATTTGAAGGGCAGATGGTCAATCCTATGCCACTTCGTATTAAAGATGGGTTGTAACCCAAAACGTGTCTGTAATATGAAAAAGGAAGGTAGAACGTCCGTTACTCTATTGCCATGCCATTTGTTGTTAAAAATTTAAGCCTATTTAGTATTTACAGATACACACAGGAAGGTTGAGGGATTCGTAGGTTCTTTTGTGTCATTTTTTGCGAAAAATGTTGCCTAGAAATACTTCTTTTGTTCTCTTCCAGTCTTTTTTGTCCGCCGCTTGTTTGTTTGCCTTATTTTTTTATTTCCTCTTCCTATAAAGAATTCAAACCTATAGAAGGTGAAATTTGAAGAGAAAAGAAAACCTTTCGTTTGTAAACTGTTTCAATTATTTACTTCCTTTTCCTTACCTGTTTCTCGTCCGTTAGACTTAATTGTGCATCAGTTACGTGTAATTAGTACTCATCCTTTTTGTATTCTCTTTCATCTCTACCTTCGCCTTTCCCTTATCTTATCTCTTCTTCCTAGTTCTTATTTATCTCGTCCTCTTCATTTAATCGCTTTCATTTGAACTTGTTATTCTTTCTTGCTCTTTTCCTTTCGTTTTCACTGCTTGAGTTTTGCTTTCGCTTGTGTTCTTTACGTCGAATCGTCTTTCTTCTGTCAAGCTTTCTTTTACTTCCTCTATTTGTCCCTCATTAGTTCACAATATTATATTTTTCGCCTTGTTTGCATAATGTCATCCCTAATTGTTTCCATTTTGTCTCCTGTTGTCGGTCTGACAGAACTGATTTGGTTTCTCATTAGTTTTGAGTTCAATACTCGTCTTTGCCTTCTCATCGTCACATCTTCTCCTTTGATTACACTTTCACCTCATTCCTTTCTCTCTTGATTTATTATCCCGTCACTCTCGACATTATGGATAATCGTTTTATCGCCTGAATTGTATTTATCGTCTTTATCGTCTTCGATCCTCTTGTTTTCTCTTTCTCCTGATTTAATTATCTTCTTTACGTCGCATGCTGATCTTTTTATACTTCTTCATTAAATTATTCTCTCTTCTTCACAGACCCCACCATTCTCCAGATTTCTTCATGTATATGTATGTAAATTATTTGAGATCCCTGGTTAACATAAAATAAGTTGAGCTGTCTCTGTGTTGCGCTAGAAGATTAGTTCAAAAAATCACGGACGTGTTTTTGATCTCCTCTAAAATGTTATTTTCATTATCTCTCAGCTTAGTCAAGTGGTCAAAGAAACAATACACGATAAAATAACATCTCTAAACAAAAATTAACCCATTTTTAGATTCCTTAAGATCTATTTTATATTTAAGGTATATTAGTAGGACATTACATAATCACAAATACAAAAAAAAATCACAGTTCTCGGAGTGTATATTTCTGGATCGCTTGCATATCTTTAACGGGAGGTTAGTTGCATTACGTCAAGGGGCTTCCTGACAGCTGATTCTCAGAAAACGTGCGAATAGCGCAGAAAACACGTGACTCATTCTTTACACTGCACGTTGGTGGGCGGAGAATGTGTGAAGAGCGAACGAGCAACTGTGTGTGTGTGTGTGTGTGAGTGA